TAAGGGGCTTTAAATCTTAGGATGGCTGGGGCTGTAAACTGCACCAAATGACGTTCCAAATTGATTTCTCAACTAAAAAATTGGAGCTTTTTTGCGGAAAATTACGTCTGTTGCATAGGCTTTTGCCATTTGAGACTCAACGTTCACGAATGAGCGTCCAAGGAATGTCATTTTTGAACAGTGTCAAACATGGGCATCGACGCTTTCACGGTTTCACGGTGGCTGCGAAAAAAGAACTGCCATGAGCGTTGCGGTCGAAACAGGCTGTTCAACACGAAATTGTTCGATGAGTTGGCCAAGACCCCCTCGGCCTACGGTCCCTCGGCTCGTAATGATGTATGGACAGACATGAATTTGCGACAGGCAAAGCTAGTGGCGGTTAGCACCAGGTGCCCGTGCCGGCTGCGGATGACCGTGCAGTGCTCCTGAAAAACCGCTACTGCTCGAAGAGCAGAAATGCTAGAAACACCTGTTTTGTGACACAACACGCGCAATGCCCCATGAGATACTGAAAATGTATGTGCAATTACACATGACATGCTGAGGATATCCTCAGAAAACCTAAGGAGAAGGCGTACCGCTACCCCTCACCACCCCCTCCCCCAACCCCACCCCTGCTCCCTCCTATCGGGCCGAGGGCTAGACTCAGGGACGCATTCAAGATTTACTTAGGAAGGAGGGAGGCGGAGGGAGGGAGGCGAGCCCAGTGACTAAGCATCAAACGGATTTTTACTTCCTGTCGCGACCAGTTTACTGATCCATCCATGAAAAACAAAACACAACATCGTACCCAAGGTAAGGAGGTTCTCAAGTGGCGCTTGGCTGCGCCTCTTCAAATTGATTGCAACATAGTCTGATCCGGCCAGCCTAGATCCATGTGAGCTATGTAGCTGCTTAAAAACAAGCATTGCAGCTTTATTTCAGTCGCATATTTTCTAGCAGGACAATCATAATATACGTTATTTAAGTTAGAGGATGCACCGCCTTTGGAACTGATTGATGCGAGGCCTAAACTGCAATTGTTAAAATAGGAGCCTAACACCGTATTAATCACAAATTCCGTGTTAGTGATAGCACAGTGCATCGGTCAGGGATGGACTTCACTCCACTTCGCAACTGATGCCAAAGGAGTGATTTTGGGGACCGAACTGTACATGATGTGCAGGTGCATGATTTAAGAGCTACGAAGATGCAATTTTTCCATTGAATGCAGCGTCATTGTTTTATAACTGTTGTCGAAACAAGGTAGGTACGTGTATCTCAAGCGGCGTCGGATAGTGTATGATGGACGGTAATGAGTCAGGAGGGCCAGTAGGGCTATGCGCCATATTACCAATATCATCCATTCATTTCAAATACCGCAATCAAAGACAAACACCTGAATCTGGAGCTGTCTGCTATCATGTTTTCGCTATATTCTACCGATCGGTTTGTCTTGGGCTGATGAGGCATTGCATACACCAAATGCGCTATATTCCAGGTGAAAACATCATTGCTCCATACATTAAAACTACTCAAGGGACAACTGTTAGCATGCTTGTCATGAAATGGAAGAACAGAGGGAGTTAATCAATCATCTTAGCCATTGTATTGTGTCTGTGCTGAGATACATGTAATGCAATTAATTGTGTTTTGGACTTAATGCATTACTTTCTTGCAGTAATCACCTCCGTTGTCTCAAATAGATATTTTCGGTGCTCATCACAATGCTGCCCTTTTTAAGGCCTAAGCCGCTCTAGTTTCTGAGGTACATGTCTGCAAAAATGGGAAAAGGTATTTTGGGGGGAGTATTTTAAAGTCAACCTAGCATTCATGACGTCATAATAGCTTCATTTAAATCCTGTAATTCCATAACCCATGCGGTGATCAAGACCAAGAAGAACATAATTGTCGGGGCGTTTATATCTGGCGTTCGTGAGCGTGCGGCCGTCAATTGGCTTTCAACAATGTTGTGTAAGGTACGATGACGTATTAAAACCATGACGCAATGGGGAGAACATTTACTACACAGAGAATTGTGCTGTCTAGAGCAGTTTTGTTACCTAAAAGTATGCCAATGGTTTTAAGTGAGCTTGCTTCATCATATCTAATGCTGGATAAATTGTATTTAAATGTGAAACGCTCCGTTTAACCATGCCCTGCTGTGCCTGCAGTCTCCACAGAATATGACTGGTAAAAAGCTGGGAGTGATAGGTTTTGAGCTGCTTGTACTACATGCCATAATTTCTTGGTAGCAGATATAATATATAACAACTGTCAATCCACGAGAGTGAAAGCATCTATTCGTGTATTTCAACAAGCATATAGAGCCAGAGCTTAGCCAAAATGGTTGCTGGGAAACCCAGTGTTAAGTTGGGGATTTCTTAGGTCATTATTTACATGCACCACCGTAAATCAATGTTTCAACCCACTCATCACTGAGAACTGCCCACGCCCCCGTGTTAGCTTAGGCATGAGCGATTGCAACAATTCAGAGCAGTGAGAGAAGAGGATGTTTTCTCACGGGATATGAGCAAAGTAAGCTTCCCCCAAAAAAAAGATTTTCCACCACGCGCATTTATTGCATCCTGGTATGCACAATGACCGTTATCACGTTAACTTTCCTTTCTGACTCTTTCGCCGCGTGACCCTTGCACAGGTATCGGGTGCGATCATCTCTTGAGCAGGGCTGTAGTTTCCTATTCAGTGTGGGAGCCACAGCTCTCCTTCCCGGCCCCCGCGCACACTTAAAAAATGGTCCAGATCCGGGGGACAACCAATTTGTCGGTGTATTTTGGCTGTACGTGTCGCAATTTTGTGGTGTTAAGCTCTCCTCTCCCAACTCTTTTTGCGAAACAACTCCCCTGCTCGCACATCTCCGCTTTCCTTATCTTGATGTCATACAATGTGTGTTTCAACTAACTGCAAAGTGAAATTTGGATTGGTCGTGTATCACCACAAATGCAAACAAGGAATACCGTAAACATTGGAACACAAAGCATACCTTTCGGCAGCCTGCAAACATACAAAAGTGGTGGCTTTGCTTGAACCATGTGGCTGCAGATGACAAAAAAAATGGTAAGGTGTGTGCGACCTTAGTGTTTAAAGGATCAGGGATGCAGGAGTGATAAGGTAACTTGGATGGAGCGGCGCAAGTGCACCAGGAGGCAAGAACATTGTACTAATTATGGTGTAAAAGGAGTATGTTTAAATGCAACTATCAGCTGAATAACCCGCTCAAATGCCTTATATGAGAAATGGAGTGTCATGTACAATGTACGATAAGTGCACTGAAAAGATAGATAGGTGCTGCTGGTGTGACTTTGCTTTTCAGCACGGATGAAACCAATCACTCCATCCCTCTAACCCGCGCCCGGGTGGCCGGCTAGATACCCTTCGCTCGGGTGGGGGTCAATTTGACCCCCATGAGATCTCGGGAACTAAAAGAGCTAGAGACACCAAGTTTATAGAGCGTCTTGACCCGTACGTGAACTGACTTAGGTGAAAGTTTGAGCTTCCCAGGTCATGTCCTTCAGGTCAAATAACGTCAAACAAGGTCAAATTCCAGGCTGGCCTCTAAAGTGCCCCCAGAACCTAGGCAACTGTTTCTGGGCAAAAGGTCACAAGCCCCTTTGAGGCCAGTGACTTAGTTTGACCTTTTGACCTTTTGACCAAAATCATACAAGATTGCTCTGAGTTTTCCATTTGAATAAGCGACAAAGATTACACTAGGCAGTATGTTCCTAAAACAAGATGTTGACCCGAGTCATCTTAGGTCAATGACCTGCTCTGACCTCTAAGAAGTTAATGGAAGACGTATAATGCGGTTCCTGCTGTCAAACTATTCGAAATGAGCACCACAAACTATCCCACACAGCAAGCCTTAGAGTAATAAATCAGTTTGGTTCTGGCCTTGGCCTGACCTTCATACCTGACCTTAGGTCAACGTGACTTGCTCATTCAATATTTTTGGTGCCTAAGAAAGCATCTCAGAGATGTATGGCTCCGTCAAACTCTCCGTTATTGTATTAGATTGGACGATTCCCTAGGAAGTGCCTTCGTTGAAACTACGGCCTGACTTTGACCTGCCATATGCCAGTGAACTTACAAGGTACGTATAAATTTTTATGTCAAACGATCTGCTATTCAGTTGTCTACTGCTGTGAAAAATTTGGCGCGGCTGCGCCGCGCCGTTCGGAAACCATTCTGGAAAAACCTTCAGAGGGGTCAATTTTACCCCCACCCCACCCCACCCGAGCGCGTGTTAAACGAGAGGTGCGATGAGGTGTGTCCAAATACGAAGTACAACTCACGATATTCACTTCAAAATCATGCTGTGAATGCTTTGTGTTGAACATCTCGGGTGAGCCGTGATGCATGGAGCGTAGACAACTCATTTATGGACCAGTCAAATTGCTTCGTTTATCGTTATGTATTATGAAATGATCACATAAGCGTGCTTTGGTGAATCCCGTCCCGGCGACTCAGCTGGTTAGCTCGCCTGCCTTCCGATCCACCCACGCGTGACGGTGTGTGTTGGAGTCGCCACAACAGCTCGCTGTTTGCATTCAACAGGTGTGACTCGCGGCCGACGGCAGCGGACGCGCTAAAGGTCAGTTGACGTTAGAGGGCAGGACGGACCGTGCCGAGTGATGTGGTAAGCTAAACTTCAGCTACCAAATTCTGCCGTTGACCTGCAGTTGCGCGAGCGGGTGTGAAGTGTCAGTGCTCACACCACAAGCACTTCTTAACGTGAGCGCTGATCTCAGAAACCATCCATTCAAAGTTTCGGATTAATTCATTTAAGAAATGCTGCTTATTTTCTAGATATTTCATGAAATAATCAGATGACTATTCTTTTCATGAGCATCCTGTATTGAAGTAGCGGAACTACTCCTTTGGGTTTTAGAACGCCTGAAGCGTGGAACACCCCAATATAAACTGTAATTGTTCACCAGTAACGAGAGCATATGGCATGACAACTCCTTTAGGATTATTACACCTATTAAGCACGGCGTCATTTGAGCATGACAATAATACACGAGGCTCACAATTATCCTGATGTTGATAAAGAACTGTGGCAATGCTCCAACTAAGCAAGAAACCGAACAAAGCGTTCTACTCCATGACCTCCATTACGCTTAAAAGCTGGTTTCCGTCGTGATCAGCACCGGTTTAGCATTATCGCAACCAAGTTTTCAAATACTTATCTGGAAACGTACGTATTATGCATGTTTGGTGATCACCTTACCATTGCATAGTTATTTGCATTTTGCACCAGATGTCTCTGATGTAAACAGCTTTTTAGTGAAACAAAATGAAACATTTCAAAACCACACGCAAAATCGATTTTGACCATCGCATCGGAAATTATGAACCGATAAGATGGAAGGCTAAGGTGTCTCAGAAGGCCAAGATGATCCGCAACAATAATATTAATGCTGTGACCTCAGCATACGTACCCAAGCGAGACCTTACCCGTGTTTTATCTATGCGCGATCGTGTTTCGCGTAGCCATCATCTCATTTGATGCCATTAGACATACAGAATCATTTACACACACTCTGGGATCGGGGGACACGGGGCTCTGAAGCAGTTAACGACTTGCTCCTTGCACTTCTTTCCGGGCGGGCAGATCTTGTTGGCGCATGTTATCGTTACGACAAGACGGCAGATCGGCCATGGCAGCAGCTGGCAAAACTCCTGCGGAGCAAAGCAGGTTCCGCAGGGATCTGAGAACAGAACAAAACATTTACGGACGTCGGGATGAAGGTGGTGTGCACAGCAATTCAGCGTTCTTAGCAGGGCAGGACAATGCTGTGCGCTCAGTGGAGATCAACAGGCACCTTGCGTTGGAATGCCTTGAGTTCGCGCAGTTGGGCTCGTCAGCGCAAACACAATAAATAGCGAATGGTAACAATTTAATGAATAGTAAATAACAAATGGTAACAAATAGGCGAATGGTAACAACATAATTTTACTTGCATTTTACATGCCAATCAGCAGGCACTCGCTTAAGTGAAACCATTGACCACGTTTCAGTTCAAAATCCGGGCTCATGTCAAAAAGTTTCGTCATATGCGTTGCGAAAAGAATCATGATAGTACTGGTTTACTGTGAATGAACTATTCATCATTGTCTGCTTGGTGAGATACTTAAATGTACTCACTTCTATTGACGCAAGTAGGTTTCGGGTCGCAGGGTAAGGAGTCACAAAACGCCTGTTGCAGAATACACTCTTGTCCGGCCGGGCAGCTGGTGTCAGCGCAGGTGGGGGCTGGCACGCGCACACAGACCGACACGTCTCCCTCTTCACGGCACTCGAACGGCTCAGGACACGGCTGTGTGCCGCAGAGCGCCGTGGGTGTGGACCCGTCTGCAAAAATACAGCCTGACTAGGGAAGTCGGACAGGGTCCGCGTGGGTGTTGTTTACGGCCCCTCCCGACCGTTCAGGAGCAAAACCAAGAGCCAAATGTCAGCGCGTTCCAAATATGCACAATCACGCTGCAAATTTATGCCGTGTGAAAGCCACCATCATTGACGCGCGTTTGACTTTGCCTGGCCGATAACCAGGCACCGCCGGTACATCTCGATCAGTGACCAGACGAGAGATGGGCGATATGATGCGGCAGCCATTTCAAAGTTGACAAATGAGGCAAAATGCAAGTGCTTGCATGCCGTTGCAGTTGTCTTTCCACCACCCCACCACACCCACCCCCTTCCCCCGCTTGGTAAAACACAGCATCTGTGCGGAAAGAAATGCGAAGCAAACTTACCCACGGCGCCGACCAGAACCACGGCGAGGGCTACCAGCGTCAGCATAGCTGCACCAATGGCTGCTCGTCGTCACACTCTGCCTATTGTGGCTGTGCCGAAATGTCAGGCATTCCTGATGAGTCATGAAAAGGTCAAATGTGGGCAGGAGCACCAGAAATACTCGCGGGAAGGTGGAGCAAACAGCGCAAAAAGTGGCGTAATTGGAACACATTCGCGAAAAACTGGCTTGTGGACCTCCAGTGACGCATTTATTTCATATCATACCCACTGCCAAAGGTGTTCGTTCCCACTTACGCTTATGGCAACACTCTCACTCATATGTCAATGAAGTGGAACTGAGGGGTGTTATTTCAACAGAATTTCTGGTGAGCAATGCTGCGCAGAAAACGGCCACCCGGCGGCGCGTCGTGTGGGGCCGTTGCTAGAGCTGGCCGCCTCGCTACCGAAGACACACCCTATACTGCTGCCCGGTAATTGACGCGCCAAACATGGGAGCTCTGACAAAGAAGGAGATTGCAAGTTTTGGGAAACCAAAAAACTGTAGCAGACCAGAAAACGTAGCAAGCCATGGCTGGGGCTCAATGATATGCAGCCACCAGGCCGCATAGACGCATTTCTTCCTAGACTAAATCGTGCTACTTCCCGTGCATGAAGTTAAGCACCACGGAATAAATACAAAGCAGAGCATCTCCGTACTCTGATCAGGTGTGAATTATTATGCTGGCCGTTGTTCTTCTAAGAACTCTAATTGAAATATCCAATACTTGAATTAGTATATGTTTTGGCGTCAAGAGATTCCTCACCCAAACGATCAAAACATCCACCCAGCGCTAAAATCATTCCACACTGTGGCGTGAAGAGATTCTCCGCCCAGCAGTGCAAATGGAATTGAATAACACTTGCGGTCGCCAGCCAACGGGTAAGGTGCATGCGTTAGCCTAGATAGATGCAACTGAGTATGGCGAAAAAGGTTCGTTACACCGTTTCTGTGTTGTTTTTTTACTTTTCATGTTGGTGTGCTATCATATGTCAAAATAAATTTTAGCACCGCGGTTAATAAAGCTAATGATAATCAGTTATTAGGCGCAGGTGTCTGTTATGAATGGTGCACTAATCAACCGCATTCAAATATTCCAATACTCTGCTAGAGCGATAGAAGCACCGTTATAATTCCAAAGATCCAACGAACAGGATCTCCTAAAAATGTATGTAAGTGTCGCAGCTGCCCGAGTGGCAACGGTTTTCTTTGTCATTTTTTGTTTTGCCCCCTGACAGAGATGTAACGAATGGGCAAGCCAAAAGCGGCTGAGACACCTGACTTGAAAAAATCGGAATGGAACTGTATAATCTGACTATGCCAAGCTCATGTCCTTCTCGCTTGTCAAACCCGCAAATTCCTGTCACATTCCTTGTCACATGTTACCCTTGTTGTTGATATCGAAACGAGACATGGTCAGATCCAGCGACCGTGTGACAAGTCAGACAGATGAGATGTAGGTCAGAAACCAAATACATGCGTAACAGGAATGGTGACGCTAGCGTGGGTCGGCCAAGTGATAATCGGTTCGCTATCCATTGTCTGCAAATCTACACAGTCCCCAAGCACATGTTGAGCAATGGTAAGCTTATTTTCACTGTGGGTCATGGTACTTGATTCTATACTGATGAATTCCGGTAATTACATTTTTGTATGAATGTACCTTTTTATCAACTAGTTGCCTCGAGAATGGCTATTAGAAAAACGCCAGCTGATAAGAGTTCATCCTGTGGAGTTTGTGGTCTTGGTTTGGCTCGGTGTTTGTGGTCTTGGTTTGGCTCGGTGTTTGTGGTCTTGGTTTGGCTCGGTGTTTGTGATCTTGGTTTGGCTCGGTGTTTGTGGTCCTGGTTTGGCTCGGTGTTTGTGGTCTTGGTTTGGCTCGGTGTTTGTGGTCTTGGTTTGGCTCGGTGTTTGTGGTCTCGGTTTCGCTCGGTGTTTGTGGTCTTGGTTTGGCTCGGTGTTTGTGGTCTTGGTTTGGCTCGGTGTTTGTGCTCTTGGTTTGGCTCGGTGTTTGTGGTCTTGGTTTGGCTCGGTGTTTGTGGTCTTGGTTTGGCTCGATGTTATCGAATTTATACTATCTTAGTTAAAACGCATGCAAGCAAATTGATGGCGGAACAGACCAATTTAAGTGGAGTCAGATACCGCCGTTATCTTATGTGCATCGTCATTGCGACTTTACGACGCACTCAGCTACTGAGGCTATATAGTCAAACTCGCATACCTGTGGTCTCCATGTTCCATTCTGCAAAGTGTGGCAGATGTTTGTAAGATCTCATTGTAGCAGGGTTGTATCAAACAACTGAAAGTTGGAGGTTTTTTTAAAATGGTGAATGTACCTTGTTTTCATTCATTGGTATCAACTTGAAATAAACACCAGGGGCGCAGTTTTTTATTGTTGGGTCACCTTAGCCCTCCTAATAATAAGACAAAAAAGTGGAAATAAGTTTGACCAGTTTCCCTCTGCTCAGCGTTTCAAATAATTTTCGAAGGTTGTGGCCCTAAGTAACACCTTGCTGAACCCTAAAAATCAAGCCCGACAGCGGTCCCAGAGGGTTGAAAAGTTTTCACATGAAAACACTTGAATTGGGATCAGGAGCAGCTGACCGAATAGTCGCGTCGTCACACAATCTGGTCTGTCCGTAGATGACTGACCGCCCGTTGGGCCTGGAAAAATGCGTCAGATACAAGGCTTTCCACTAATCGCTAGGTCATTTAGTTCAGGTTGTATCTCAGACCAGGCTGCAACATAACGCGGAAAAGCAGTACAGCAATACGACTTTTTCGAAACTCATTATATGTAATGGTCAGGCTCTCACTACAGTAGCCGCGCCCATACAACAACATTTTTAAAATCCAAACATTAAAACCGGAGGACTGCAGCACAAGCTCAACACACCACGCACCACACAATGCACAGTGCACTTTCGCAGGCCGCAGGTCTCTTCTCTGACGGGCCGCTAAAAGACGATACGCAGATGTCTGATCGCGGGCAGCTCCCAGTCCCCGCGAACATCAACCACGCGATGTCCAGACTCCGGTGATGGTGCATTAAAGCCCCGGAGGCGCCTCTAATCGCAGACCAGGTCCACGGGACACGGAGGCCTGAAGCAGGCGACGGCCTCCTCCCTGCACTTCTGTCCGTGCGGGCTGATCTTGTTTGCGCAGGTCGGCTCGACAACACGCCGGCAGAACGGAGCCGGCAGCAGCTCGCAGAACTCGTCCGGAGCGATGCAGATTCCGCAGGGATCTGAGAGGCCGGAGCACAATTTTGAGTCCCGGAGTAGCCGTGGCAACAAACCGAGGTAGCCCTAGCTATCCTGAGGTACATCTAATTCAGTGTTTTCAGGACAGACCACTCGAAGCGCTAAACTGGAGTAACACCTAACCAACCGGACCGAATAAACTGGAGCAGCACTTAACCAACCGGACCGAATAAGCTGGAGCAACACTTAACCAACCGGACCGAATAAGCTGGGCAACACTTAACCAACCGGACCGAATAAACTGGAGCAACACTTAACCAACAGGTGTCATTGTGTCAGATCTTAATAAAGCTTACTTCCAAGTTCTACTCTCGCGCGATGGTCTGAAGTTCCGTGGTGTTATCGCTCCGTTCAAGGGTGTTATGGTATACATTCGTTGTGCTATGAGCCTCCCTGGCTCGGGATCCACTCTGTGCCGCGTCTGATGTCCCGTGTCTTAGGCAGTCTTATTCGAGACGGCGTAGTTGCCAACATTACTGAGAGTCTGTTCTGTGGTGGCGCCACGCCTGAGAGGGTGCTCCACGCCTGGCGCCTGTTGTGCTGCAGGCACTCGATCGGTCCCGACCTGCATCTGTCATCGGTTAAAACTGGCGTGTGTCCTCGACCAGCACACGATCACTGGTCCGTCCCGATGGCTCGGTTGGTTAGGGAGCCTGTCTTCCGATTCCACCACCCAACCGTGGCGGGGTGGGTTCGAGACGCTTTAGGTGTTCGTTGTTCGCCTATGACAGGCATGGCCTGCCATCGGTGACAGCCGCCGCGCTAGAGGTCCGGAAACGTCTGAGGGCAGGACGGACCGTGCCGAGTACTGCGGCATGTTAAACGTTTGCCACCAAATTGTGCCGTTGACCGGGAATTGCGTGATCGGATGATAGGGGCCAGGGCTCACACGTCAAGCAATGCCCAGCGTGAGCTCTGATCCGAGAAATCCATCCATTCAAAAAGGTAGAAAATAATCCTTAAAAAGTCATTATTTTCGGATGGACTTGGTCTGATGGTGGAATCTCTGCCATCCCTCATCGCGTGTCTCCACTCTGTCCATCCGCACGCATTCGCGCACGGCGTCCGCGTAAGATGAAGAAGCCTGCAAAGCGTTGTCGGGGCCTGCAAAGTCCTGGGCCTCGCCATGAAAGTCACGTTTCGTCCTGCCCCCCCCCCCCCCCCGCCCTCCCCCATACCTGAAGTGGTCTGCACTGGTTATGAATGCTTTAATGTCACCCACTGGTCCGATGAGCTGCTAGCTGTCTTGAATACCACTCACAAGGCCCTTCTGGGACATTGCTCCACGGTGCTGCCCTACCCTTCGGACCAGCTGTGGATCGCTACCGATGACCAGCAAGCTGCGCGGTATTGACCGCCCCACAGTCACCCGTGCTGACCGCACTTGATTCCTCGCTGGCTGGCTGGTTTCTTTAATGCCCAGCTTTAAAAAACCGGGCTGGCCCACAGATGGCTACTTTGCGTAAGCTAGTCCCTTGCTGTTGCAGCGGCGATGAATCATTTTGTTCCATGCATTACGCCGTCCACGTGACACCCGTCTCTGTCCTCACGGACCGCACGGTACGTCCAGGCCTACGACAAACTGAGTCGGGGGGAGGGGGGCGGGGGGTAAGTTTTCCATCCGTCGGCGAGTCACTACCCTCATCGCCACGGCCAGTCCGTACTCTCTCTGTGCGACACTTCGCTAGTTCAGCGTATCGTCCGTCCAATGTTTCCATCCAGAATGCTTCAGCCTGCACGAAGTATTGCTGTCAGGCATGTCCTTTTGTGTTGCGTTTG